TGTTCAGTAGGTCAATGTCAGGTCTCAGGAGTACACTGCCGCCTCTATTTCTGCTATGGATATATTGTCAGGTTCATCACTAACTCCACAACCCAGGATTATTCCACTGCCATACATGAGCCTCACTGTCTAGGAGCTTTCTCTTAGCATGGGCTGGAAATACCAGAAGTTTCAGGTAATAAGAAATCTACAATCAGCCTTCAGCTCATGAGATGGGTCTGGAAACATAAATATCTACTTCCTCCCTATCATAGAATAGGAAAACTTACATTACATGTAAGTTTATATTCTTTTGGTGGTTTCAGCATGGTAATCTTAATTTTCTCCCTAAAGGTTAAACACCTGATGACAATATTATTATTTTCAGACTATGGTAGACAGTCCAATGAAGCACTTGAAATTAAGGAATAGTGAAGAGTTGTAGAAAAAAAAAAAAAGAAAAAGCATATGCAATCATCTCAATTGACAGAGAAAAAGCATCTGACAAAGTTTAACACCTATTCACTATAAAATTCAACACCAGTTCAATGCTCAATGATTTAGAATAGAATGAGAACACCTTACCATAATAAAGACCATAAATGAAAAGCATTATATTCAAAGCCGAAAGATTCAAATATTTTTCTGTGAGATCAGTAATAAAGCAAAGATGCCTACTTTAACCATTTCTAAATCAACATATTATTGAAAGTTCAAGCCTGAATAGTTAGGCAAGAAAAATAAATAAAAGGCACCCAAATTGGGAGCGAGAAAGTAAGTTGATCTCTATTCAGATATGATAAAAACTTTTGTGTAGAAAACCTAAATATTCTTCAAAAAAAAAAAACTTTTCAAACTAATAAACAAATTTAGTAAAATATCATGGTACAAAATCAACATGCAAAATTCACATTCCTGTTAATAAACAATCCAAAAAGAAATTTAAGAACACAATCTTCTAACAATATAATCAGACTAAAACAGTAAACAATTAACCAAAGAAGTGAAAGACTTGTAAACTAAAAACAACCAAACACTACTGAAATTCAGTAGTAGCAAACACATAAATAAGTGGAAAGATATCCCATATTCATGGATCAGAAGTTGTACAAATTTAAAACTTCCATAACATTCAAAGTGATTTACAGATTCAATAAAAGTCCTAACCAAATTACATTGGCATTTTCTGCATAAATAGAAAAATCTACTCTGAACTTCATATAAATCTCAAGGAATCCCAGATAGTCACACAATTTGGAAAATGAACAAAGCTGGATGCCACATACTTTCTAATTTCAAATTTCTTAATAAATATACAGTGGAAAATGAAATAGTGTGTTACTGGAATAAAGACAAATATAAAGATCAATGGATCATATGGAGCACAGAACCACAACCTTGCATATGTAGTAAATTATTTTTTACAAGAGTTTCAAGATGCAGATGGTGTTAGAAAACTAGTTTCCAAATGCAAAAGAATCAATGGACCCTTACCAAACACCATATACATAAAATAACTCAAAAGGGAAAGGACATATAAGTAAGAGTTAAAACTATAAATACAAGAAAACATACAAGAAAGGTTGATGACACTGGATTTGACAATGGTTTCTTAGATATAGCACAACACCCAGTTAAAGAAAAAATAGAAACATTGAATCTAATCAAAACTAAGCTTTTTTGCATGAAAGAGAGCTATCAACACAGTGAAATGGCAATCCATAAGTTAGGGGAAAAAAACATTTGCAAATTACAAATTTGATAAGGGATTACTATGCAAAATAAAGAATTCCTGCAACTCAACTTTGAAATAACACCACCAAAATGGGCACAGCATATGAAGAGACATTTTTCTAAAGAAATATATAAGTGGATAATAAGTTCATAAAACAATGATAAGCTTTACTAATAAATAAAAGAGTGCAAATGAAAACCACAAGATTCCAACTCACACCCATGTGAATACCTATTATCAAAAATATGTAAAAGAAAAGGTTTGAAGTAGAATGTGGAGAATTAAAAGCCTTGTGCACTACTTGTTGGAACAGAAAAGAATGCAGCTACTGTGGAAAATAGTATGGCAGTTCCTTGAAAAAATTAATCAAAGAACTATTGTTTTATCTATTTCATTTTGAGATATATACACAAAAGAATTAAGTATTGGGACTCAGAATTATTTGCATACCGACATTCAGTGCAGAACTTTTAGAAAGATCCAAAAGGTTGAAGCAACCTTTTAGATAGTAGTCCACTGTTGAATGGATAGGTAAACAAAGTTGTATATAAATACAATGAAAATTAATATGTCATAACTGGAAACGAAATTCTGAGATAGATGTATCTTAAAAATATTATGATGAATTCTTTGAGATAGATGACCATCAAAAACATTATGCTAAGCGAGATATAGAGAGGATCGAATATTCCATTATTTTGCTTATATAAATTACCTAGAATATCAATATATGGAGGGACAAAATGTACAACAGGGATTATGAGGACTAAAGCAACTAATTAGTAGGGGATGACAAATATTTTGGAAATAAATAGTGTGGTGCTTGTGACAACAATGCATGTACACTTTGTCACTAAACTGCACATTTTAAAATTTCTAAAATGGTAATTTTTTGTTATGTGTAATTAAAAAAATATTTTTATTTGTTGATAGACCTTTATTTTATTTGTTTATATGCAGGGCTGAGAATCAAACCCAGTGCCTCACACATGACCAGGCAAGTGTGCCACTTCTGAGACCCAGCCCCTTGTTACATGTATTTTATAATAACTTTTTAAAAGTTTAGCTGACCAGGTATGCATGGTTCTATTTCTGGACCATCTTTAATGTTCCACAGATTGATGTGCCCATATTTATGAAAATATCACACTGTGCTTATTTTTAAAAACTTACAGCAAGTTCTGAGATCAAGACATATAAAATTTCATATAAAATATTTTTCTACTTATTCAAGATAATTTTAGCTATTACAAGTCTTTTGTATTTCTAAGAAAATTTTAGAATCAACATGAACAGTTATAAAAATATGTTGGGGTTTTGAACTAATTTGTGATAGTTAAGAAGACATGACAACTTGTCAATTTTAGGGCTCAATTCATGATCATGGTGTGTTTCTCCATTTACTTCCTCATTTCATTTAACTTTTTTTTTATTATGGTTTAGTAGTTTCAGGGTAGACCCCCATATACATTTTTTGTTACATTTATTTCCTAATATATTATATTTTTCATACTATAAATTACATTTTTTTCTTTTTTTCCATTGCTTGTTACCAGCTATGGAAAGACAATTCACTTGGATTGTCATCATTATTTCTAGCAACCTTGCCACACTTATGTGTCATTTTATTTTTTGTAGATTTATTTGGAATTTCTCTGTTTTACATTATGAAATTCACAAATAACCAAATTTTAACTTTTTCCTTAAAATTATTATGCTGTGTATATCTATTTTCTTACTTTCTGTACCAGGTAGAACATATGGAATCTCAGGTAAAAGTTAGGCAAGCAATGATCACCAGTTTGTTTCAGTCATGCAAAGAAAGCTCTGTGTTAACCATAACATTAGTGAAAAATAATCATTACGTTATTCGTATTTTGTTGAAAGTCCATCACTTTTTTATATTTGTTGGCATTACAATTAAAAGTTTCCCTTTAACTGTATTTGAATTCTTCCCAGAATTCTAAGCTTTATTTATAGACACAATTTATCTTCAAAAAGGAGACTTGGTCTATGTGTATTAGTGTCTTGACTGCAAAATTAAAATCGATACATTATTTCAGTGAAAATACTGAGTTTTACTCATTACATTTAACTGATCCAGGAACTGTGTAATTTACTTATTCCAGAGACTTATGTGAATATACCTCTTTTTACAAAAAAAAGGAAAAGAAAGAAAAAATATCTATCACTCTTCTGTTATTAACCAAGAGGAGGAAAGGGCAACCCCATGGGAACAGTTTAATCAGCCTTGACATCCAAGTCCATGATTCAGGATGATTTAAATGATCTGTGACAAAAGAATAGTTAACAGTCTGCAAAATGTCCATTATCTTCAGTTAGCAAAGGCCTATTGATTTAGGACCTTGTGTGACTCCCATAGGGTGTGAGTAAGAAGTGATGTGAAAACTCCAATTCAGCATTATTCACCACCAGCAAAACACTCGGAGGTAAGTCTGTTAGGAAGGTACAAATTAAATCTTCATGCTAAATAGTTGTAGATGTCTGGGGAAATCAGGGAGCAGAACGTTTGATACTATCTATAATTTTCTTCTGAGATCACATATGGCAATCCTGTTAAAATGATGTCTTTAACGAGGTTGTACAATGAATGAAAAACTCTAGAAATTGCTCTGTTTATGATAAAATCTGTTTGTTAAATAAAATCTAAGCTCTCCTAAGGATGTCTTCCACAGCTGTACTTCTTTGCTAGAAAATACACCTATCTGTTTGTGTAGTAATTTATGCCTCTTTCTGAAGCACGGCTTGATATATCAAGAGCATAGAGAGTTGTAGAAAAGAGCTGCCTAACACTTAGGTATAATTCTATCATGGAGGTCCACAGAATCCTTCAGGTATAATCCTAGGGTCAGTCATTCACCATGAGTTCAGTGACTGCTACTGAGACCCTCCTGCCTCACTGGCATTGGGAAAAGGGTTCAAAGTGATGCAAGATAAAACAAATGCATGCGACACAATCTGGCACCTTCTCAATTAGCCCTTGTCTGAGAAGGTAGGATACACTCTATGATCAGAAAATGCAAGTGCAAGTCACTCCTATGAAAGCTGAACATCCTTGTGATGACAACCAGGAACCCACAGACACTGAGCTAGAGGTGATGTGTTTGTGGATCCAGCAAAATCCTCAGACAGGGGCATGGCTTAGCCTTATGAACAACAATTACATGTAGGACCATTGACTAGGCTCTGAATGAACAAGAAAAATATAAATATTTCTTAACAAAAGACAAAAGTGAACAACTTAACAAAAGTAAGAGCTACTTACACCAGAATAGAAAGGCTCACCAGACACACAAATCACATCCTGCTCCTGGATGATCAGAATATCTTTGGCTAGGTGCAGCCGGACTTTGAAAGGCTCTTGATTACCATCCTGCAGCAAACAAATCCCTGTCTTTGTCTTCAGAGAAAAAAGAAGAAGGAAAAAAAAGAACAAAGTATAGTTATAGGTTATAATATTATGGCCTATTTACAGCCAAACCCATTAAATAACATTTCACAGCTGGGAAATATATACTTTGGTGAGTCTGATATTTATTACTTTATTGTGCAGAGAAATGGTAAAACCATTTTAAACAAATTAGATGCATGGATTATGGACATTATGTCAACGATGCCACATGAAATTTTGGAAACTAAGAATTATAGCAAAAGTACTGTACTATGTTTGAAAAATAATAAGAGTTTATATGAATACTTACTTATAATTTGAACATAAAAGTAATAGTTTTATTGAGATACAATTAACATTTCATATAACTTGACTTTTTAAAGTATATAGTTAATTTTTTATAATATTCAGATGTACAAGCATCAAAATGAGCAATTCTAGAACATTTTGAACATCTGTAAAATAACTGCATACCTCTGTCTCTCCCTGCCCAAGCCTAGACAAACACTAATTTACTTTCTGTATCCATCATAAAATTTGGCATCTGGACACATACCTACTTAACATATCAGGGATTGAACTCAGGGGAACTCAAATACTAAGCCACATCCCCAGCCCTATTTTGTATTTTATTCAGAGATGGGTCTCACTGAGTTGCTTAGTGCCTCGTTTTTTGCTGAGGCTGGCTTTGAACTCACAATCCTCCTTCCTCAGCCTCTGGAGCCTCTAGGGTTACAGGAATGCTCCACTGTGCCTGACCCTACTTAACTTTTAGTGTAACTGCTCTGTACTAGCATTCCTATTTGTCCCACACTTTGTACTTCAGATGGAATGAGGAAAAGTGGTAAGTGAATTATCTAAATTAATGTTATAAAACAGATCCTAATTTAAAGTCCAAAAATTTTTGTTCCTAAATGAATCAACATGCTTCACATATTTTTGGAAAATGTGAAGAAAAGACTGTGAGGACTTCTGAATCTTGTACTACAGAGCTTTAAATCACAGACTTCATAATCACTGAAGAAGACTGGATCTTGTCAGCATCAAAAACCTTTGTTTTATTATAGTCACTCTAGCAAGGGCATTTAGCATTTCTATTTGTCATGCTATGAACCGAAATTCATGTCAAACAGAATATAATCTCTAATTCTTATTATGAACTAAAAAGTCAACAGGAGCAATGACTACTTCAGAAATGCCTTTTTTTCATTTGATCAATTAATGAATCATTCTTGATGAATGGATAATACATAGGGAGGCATATTTATCCTTAGTATTTGAGAGGTGTATTACCCCAGACAAATAATACCAGGTTTTCTTGTGTAATTTAATTTTCCATGGGGATTCTTAGGAGTTTCTTTCTTTGGAAGAATTTTCCAGAATGTTGACGAGCATATATTTAGATATTGCAGCTTCCAAAGCTAGCTCTTTCTGCAAACTGATTTATCACATGTACAGAGGCACACCATTTTATCCTCCATATCACATACAATCATACACCCGCCTGTAAGTATTTTAAAGGGTGCATGTCTTTTTTAGGAAGTACAGAAGCTTTTTTAAGAGCAAGGACAACATTCTTTTCTCATCTCTGGCAGCAGCACTCAACAGATGCTCACTAAATCATGCCGATTAATCTATTCACCAGTGTCATTCAACTGGATATGTCCAGAGGACAAAAATATTTCAGAACAAGCAAATTATACTTCCCTTAGTATGAAACAGTTTTTCTGAATTTTTCTCATGAACAATTCTTTCATGCTTTCAGTGTGATCTTGGCCAGGGACCAACCCAGAGACACTCTAAGGGACACAGGGAGGAGTGGGGGTATAAAATAATACATCAAAGCCAAGTGATCATAATTGAGCACATTGGACAGTTTTTCAATGAAAGGTAGACTCTGGGCCAATTTGTTCCCCAGACATGTAATGGAATAGCTGGTAATCACAAGTAATGCTGTTTCAACTTCAGGATGAGAAAGGGGCTTTTCCCTGAGAGCTCAGAAATATATTATTGTTACACATCAAAGAGATGTACAAGATCAGCAGGGAAAGGTTGGAGAGCTCCACAGAGCCAGGAGCGTTCTCTCATCTCATTTCTGATGTGGTCCAAGTTAGCATTGCACAAGTAATGTGACAAACGTCCCCAGTTTATTAAATAACTTTCTGGAAAGCAGAATACAGAGTTTTGAGCTCCCTCTAGTTTCCTGAGATGTCAAGATTTACAAATAATAATAATAATAATAATGATTAAGCTAGAAGAAAACACCCCCTATCACCACCACCAATAAAATGTGTGTTCTGTTTGTGCTCAGAAAGCTGAGGACAAATTGACATTAAAATATATTTTACCACGAAAATTCAGCTGTGCATGTGAAAATACATTTTAAATCTCACAAATGCATGACTTTTGCAAATATTGTATTACATTAGCAGAGAATCAGACATGAATTTAGACAAATATTCTTTGGTTTCAAAGTATTCTTACTTATTACAATAGTACACAACTGGATGTGGTTGTACTGTAATCCCAGAGACATGGGAGACTGAGGTAGGAGGATCAAGAGTCCAAGCAAGGCTATCAAGCTAGATGAAATAAGCCAATTACAGAAACCAAAGGCCAAATGTGCTCTCTGATATGTGGATGCTGACACAAAATAAGGGAGGGTGGAGACTAGAAGTTCATTGGAGTAGACAAAAAAGAAGGATGGGGAGGGAGAGAGGGTGGAAATGGGAAATACAGTAGAGTGAATTGGATAGAACTTTCCTATGTGCATCTATGAATACACAATAAGTGAAAATCTTCATCAGGCACTACCACAAGAATGGAATCCTAATTAGAGTCAGTTGTATTCCATGTATGTACAATATGTCAAAATACACTCTAATGTCATGTATATCTAAAAAAGAATGAATTTTTAAAAAGCAGAGTTCAAGAACTGCCTGTCTGAATACAAAAGAAAAATAAATAAAAGGTCCAGGGATGTATGGGGATGTGGCTCAGTAGTACTGGGTTCAATCCACAGTACCAAAAGATATGTATATAAATATGATGTGATGTGATACATGAGATGGCAGCATTGTATAGAGGGCAATGAGATATTTTTGAGAGGAGGAAGTTTCAAGGAGGACTGATAGAAGATGTGTATAGTTCTACTGAAAAATAAATTGGGAAAGCAATTATTAATAGGATCCAAAGATATTTTAATCAATGGGAAAAATGAGTATGCCTATCTCATGGGATGTAAGAAGATGGAAGCAAAAGGCAATTTCAATACTGGGCTTGTGTGAGCCATCAGAGGAGTGGGAGAGAAGTGCTGGGTGAAGATTAGGCAGGTCCAGGTTCCTGTAGAATGTGGCAGGGGTTTGAAGATGATGGAGATACCCTGGCAACATGCCAGTGATAAAATAATTGCTCACATTTGTATGTTCTAACTAATTTTTTACAGCAGTGCGGAAGATGGAAAGTAAATGGGAAAATGAAAATATGTAACTGTTATCAGAAGCAAACACTCTGGGCAGAGGATGTTAGGGAGTGGTAAACAGCTGCACTTAGAATTCCTTTAGGACATTAAAAAGGGAGGGGAAATTGATTGCAGGGCACTCTCCTGAGGAAGAGCAGAGTGGGGGCATGGGGATTCTCAAAAGAAATATGGTCACATATTTCATTTATTTGTTGTTAATAACTACTCAGATGTGTTTACTAAATGCAAAGAAACAGTAATTTGCTTTGCTGTTCAAAACCCCAGTGCAATGGCTTTCACAGATAGAACAAGACCAGAGATGAAGTTATTGGGCAGAACTAAAGCCAGGCTGCTGAAACCAGGTTCTGTGTTCTGTACTAGTTGCTTTGCGCTCACTTATACTGAGGTTATTTAGGGAGATCTTCCCAATTATCCTGCATAAGATGGTATAGCCCTTTGCATCTTTCACTGGATAGAATTTTGGTTATCAAAATATTCCAATGGAGCTGAGGTTTTAGCTCAGTGGTAGAACATTTACCTGGCCTGCTTGAGGTCCTGAGTTCCAAACTTAGCACAAAACAAAATGAATGAAAATAAAAACAACAAATAAAAAATGCAAACAATAAAAATAACAGAAACAAAAAACTAATTTTTATGTAGTGTGAATAATTCTGAAAAGGACAATATCATATTGCAACAGCTACTCATCATGGGTCAAAGCAATGACCACTGGAGATAAGAAACCACTCTCAAGATATCTATTATTAATTAATTATCTATTAATTTTTCCCTAAAGCCATGCTGCTAGAGGGCATAGGACTCTATGTGATGTGGGAAGAGATTTTTATCTCCACTCCATTATGATTTCTTCAGAGGATAAGAATTGGAATTCTTTTGAAAGTGGGAGTGGCTGCTAGTGCTGTCCAAACTAAAAGAAACCACAGCTACAACAACTTCAGAGGTCCAAGGAACCAAATTCTTTAAAATTAGAAATCATCTAAACACTTATAGGCCTCCAATATTAATATCAACTTACAACATACACCATCTTCCTTTTTCTTTATTAACATGAAGCAATTAACAATTATTCATTGCATGTAAGTGAATAAATACATGTAATATGTGTTTATATATAAAATGTAAAAATATCTTACAAAATTATAAGTTGTAAAGTACACCAACATATTCAAATTCTAAAGGAAGGAATTATTCATAAAAATGTTATAACTCAAATATTATTTTTCTGTGCCTGATTAACAATCCTATATAATGTCTGGATTTTACAGATTCCACATTGGATACCATTTGCACAAATAAATGATTAAAAAGTGACATTTCTTAGTTATGTAAAAGGCAATATTTTAGAATGCTATGTTTTATCCAAATCAATTAAATATGGTTATAAATTTTCAGGAATTTACTTTGTTATTAAAACAAATGCCACATTTAAACTTTATAAATTGTATACATGCTTCAACTTAGTACATATTTTGGAACTTTAAAAAGTAGATCTTTATCTACTTTCTTCTTAAAAATTAATAACTTTTTAAAATTTCTGTTCTTGTTGCTTAAAAAACACAAAATGTGCTTGCTTGGAACTTTAAAGTCTACATCTTTAAATTTTGAAATGAAAATCTGCAATATCCTACGTAAGAAGCCAGGCAGAAACAATAATATAAAACTGCAAATACTCTTGCAGGTATTTCTATATTTTGGTTGACAAATATACATTAATTTGTTTTGTAAATCTGTGGTCTTAAGTACTATGCAATTTTTACTACATCACAGCAGTAGTGCATTGAATATTATTCCAGGCAACGTGCTTCAAACTCTATTTTATCTTTTACCTGCCCCCTTTCTGGATTAATTTGAATCCTGGCTTTCTCCTTAGCTGAATTCTAGTCTTTTGTTAAGTACTGTATAAGGCTTTATTCTATGTGAAGCCTCTGAAATAATTTAATCCAAGGATGAGTCCTCACTCTTTTGAACTCATACTTTCATAAAATATTTATGTGTCCTTGAAACTCATCAGTACTCTATTTTGGTATCACATGTAATGACATCAAGAGTATTTAGTTCAATATCAACATTATTTAGCTTCCTCTTGTATATTATTATTACAAGATTTTAATAATAGGCTATTGCTCTTTTCATTACTGATGATTATTAATTAATAGGACCTAATATAATAGTTTGATCCTAGCAGAATTTCTTTCAACATTTGTAATCATACTGGGGCTGAAAAAAATAGCATCCAAAATACTGGTGCTTTCAGACATTCCTCTGATTTAGGGTCCCCTCTGATCTTTCCTTGTTTTTCTACCTCCTTGCACAGGGAGAGGCATTTTGCAAATTTCTCATATCTATCCAATCAGATGCCCCCCAAGAGAAAAACAATTGCTTTATATTTTCTTTCTGAAATTGTACTAATAAGAGGAGGCAAAAATCTGGTTATAACAAGGTAGATTCAAAGCAAAACATCATGCCTAGATCTTAGAAGAACTTTGTCCTGGTCCCATATGTCTGCCCACATAATAATTTATTAGCCCTCTGGAATTACCTGGATTGCCTATATCCCTACTCTCCTCTCCCCTGTGAGGAGAATGGTTAAGCTTCAACTTTCTCACTTTTGCAACTCCCACTCTGTGTATGGATCTTATGTTCTGGTATATTAAAATATTTGTATGTTTTTTTTTCCTGCTAATCTGTCTTTTCCAGTTTATTTCATGTAGTGAAATTATTAAACATTCAACAAGGAAGTTAGAACTATAACTGTAACATAGTCATAGATTATATTTTATCATAGAAAGAACTAAAATTATGTACATGAACAAATTATTTCACATAGTCACGTGTTATGTAAAAGTGGATCTAAGTCTGAGAAGCACACTATCAGGTGATTTTTATCATTATGGGAAGCTCATGTGGTACTCACATAAGCTGAGATGTTTATGAAAACACCAGGTAACAAAGTATTTTGCCAAAGAGTAAAGTACCATTATTCAGCGAAAGACTGTATATGTTAAAAGAAATATGTAGCTTCGTAATCAACATAAAGATGTAGGTCTTACTTTAATAAAGGCAAATATGAAAAGTGAGGAAAAATGAAAATAAACATTGGCTGGAACATACACACTTTTTCTGATGAAATGTTTTTAAAAGCAGAATAATGGTAATCAGAGGCTGACTATATGTATACTAAATAATGTCTTATTATGTGTATATTTTTCTGCTAAATTTTATATTTTATATTTGTCCCTAAAGAATTTTATGTAAGTTTCTTCCTTCATTTTTGCTTCTCACTGGACTTCTAAATCCCGAGTATTTTTTAAATTGCAACATTTTGTTTTCAAGAGCAGAAGTTTCTTAATCAATAAATCATTTATTTAAAACGGATTTATATTAGATACTCAAGGTGCTTTTAAAATGGTATCATGTGTTCATTCTTCTTTATGTTTTTACAGAGAAGAAATCTCCTGACATCCACAATGCAATAGTCTACCTTGATCTCATGTGCATCAATATCAGGTTTTCATTTTTATTCCTTTTAGTAGTCAAGAGAAAACAAAAATATGGAAATAATATATTCCATATATCTTTGACTCTAATATAATTTCCAGCAATGAAGTACTCTAGAGAGAGCTTTAAACTTATGATTAGGAGTTCTAAGTTACACATTAATAGCTTTACTTTTAATGAATTAATTAAATAGCTCTTGATATATCATAAAATGTCTAGATTTCCTCACAAAGTGACAGTTACATATTTGGAGTATCCTATAGTTCCATGTTCCTGCTGATCTTGCCGGTGTGCAGAAGACACAGGAATACTGTACTGAGCAGCTTAGGAACTCCACTCCCAATTGGGGACAGAGTTTAATGTGGTACAGATTCACCAAAGGCTCATTGCAAAAGAAAGAGAAACTACTGCCATGGAAACGAAGGTACACAGGTCACAATAGAATCTGATTGGTATCCCAAATCAACACGTCAAAGCAATGTTATTTAAAAGGAGACCTAGGAAAACTTATGTCAGTCTCTGAAGTCCAACATATATAATTTGTTATAATAGTATTATCTATTATCCATTTTAATCACATAAATTTTATATGGGTCCCACATGTGTCTTATTCACACCAATATCCATTCAGATTAAATGAGTGCTTTGCTACTCAAAAGAAGATAATATTTGATGAAAACAGAACATTTTCTACATTCAAAATTAAGAGGATGCAATTAAAATTAGATATGACATAATTTAAATTTAAGCTTATACTATCCCACAAAGCCTATAAAATGTTAACTAAATTAAGAAAAATGTATGAACTGATAGGTGCTGAGTTTAAGACATGAATAAGTTATTATATATTTTGACCTTAATAGTATTTAGTGTGGCATGTGAGAAAGATTTGTAAACAAATAACTACAATGTAATTTTTTAAAATGATAGCATAGACATATTTAAAAAGTATACTTAAATGTTTAAAAATGAAAGAAGCATAAAAATTAAAAGATGAAAGTACTTTACTTGTTTTCTAAAATAATTTTACTTACATTTTAAACTCAACACTAATGCTTACAAAATTTTAAATACATTTTTGCAATCAGTTTAGAGAAAAAATAAGCAATTGTTTATCTCAGATTCCTGAGAGAAATTTAAGTACATGACATTTCACTAAAAGGAAAATCTTCACAAATGTTAGTCTAAAGATTATGATTTCTTTGGCTTGATTTTAACACTACCATAGGTAATCTAGTTATGCTTGTTTTTTTGTTGAGTCAAACAAAATAAAAATACTTTAAAATTTGAAAGCAAATGCAAATTTTTTTCCTAAAAATATTTTAATTTTACCCGAAGACTGAAAAAAAAAAAAAAACCCTCAATTGTTTGAATGACTCAGGCTTAGTGAAAAAAGACAGCCTTTTTTCTTAAGACAGAAAGGTTACGTTCCCTGGGGCTCCCATCCAAGCACTATTGAACTGTACACTTGAGTGGTCTTTAATATCCTTGAAAGAGTAATGCATCACTTTCACTCATACCAGGGTGTGATGGCAGCTTTGCAGAGAAACTGAATTGTTATATATTAATACTTAAATAATATTGAAATACTTAAGAAACATTGGAATCAAAACTTGTAGGATTTTAGTGCCTCCCCCCCCCAAAAAAAAATAGAACCTTAATTGCCTTTCAATTTATAACCGTGTATGTGAAAAGAATTCCTTCCAGTAGTTCCTCTCACCATACAGTATTTAGTTGATGGAAAGGAGCAATTCAGTTATTAAATATGCTCCGATCTTCCTAAAGAGTTGAAATCCAGGGCTTCCCCAGGCATACTTTGGTTTTCTAACTTTACTGAAAGAAAACGTACTCTGGATGTAAAAGGATCCTATCACTCACTCATCCTCTGCGCAAAGCAGTGTTCCACCCACAAAAAGTGGGGCCAAGTCTGTCCTGCTTATATACTGTGTTTTCCTTATGCAAAAAGGCAGAAGGCTACTGCACCTACCTCCTCACAGGCGGTTCTGAAATCCATGTGCTATGGCACCACAAAGGATGTGATCTGGAAAGAGAGAAATCATAAGCCATTAAGCAGAGCATTGAGTGTCAGAGAAAAGAACATTGGTAAAGTGTAAGAAATGGTGAAGCCGATACCATGGGAAAACTGCCTTTGCAACCACTGGCATGAGGGAAAGCAGGAGACGAAAAGGTCTTCATGCCCAGCTTTTGTAAAATACGTATACACTGAAACTGTTTGTGTGATGGAGAATCTGTATTTCCACGCATCTCTACACCCTGCCAGGCATTCAGACATGATCTACAACAGGACTAACCTCTTTTCTCAGGGGTTAGCTCATTGCCACCATTCATTTTGAAACCTGAGTTTGCAGGTGGGAAAGAAACTTCAAATAGGAGTAATTAGGTGTTGCTTTTCATCTGGTTATCTCTCAAAAAAAAGGTTGACTGATCTTTCTCTTTTTAATTAAAAAACTACATGCATGAATAATTCTCTCTGGAATTTAAAATTTTATTCATAAACACTATGATTCAAGGAAGCTCTGTATCAGAGTGCATAATATTAATATAAATCAATGTATGAAATATATAATACAGATTTTCATTTAAGGGTCAATGTAATACCTGCATAATGGATGCAGATTTAAATCATATGAAGGTTTTTTAAAAGTTCTTTTAAAGAGTTTTGTCTCATTTTATGATTAAAAAAAAAAGTAGATGTCACACAAAATTGATACCTATCTACAATGACAGGAAACAATGCAGAGTCAAACTGTATTCAATGAGTAAATGAGACTTCAAAGTACAATTTCAAGATACTGCCCCAAATTACTCTCAGTTTTAAAACAGTAAACCATTTTATCCTTCTTTGTTACATTTTTGTTGTTGTATGATAAGTTTGAGAATGCTCAACCCAAGTGAGTGGGCTAAAATAGAGAGGAAAGTGACACACTGACACTGAATTAACGGATCATTTTTCTTTTTTTAAAGAAAAGATCAGTTATATTCAGTAGAAACCAAACATGTTATTTAATATTTGAAGTACTTTCCCTGGATAAATCTTGTGGATTGTGAGCTTGTCTTTATTTTACTGAAATGTATAAGTGACTGATTAAAATCAAGTTGGTTAATGATAAATCATTTGCAAATAAAAATACAATTTTATGAAAAATTAATCATTTGATGATACAAATCAGTTAATATTTTAGTGTTCATGTGCATTTTGTTAATATTTAATAAGTTGTTATTATTGAAGACTACTTTTGAAGAACCCATAAATATCTGCCTATTTCTAACCTAGATAAAAAGTCATCCCTTTACTGTAAATGCAGGAAAAATTTAGTATTTATTCCTTATATAAAAGTAGGAAGTGTCGGGGCTGGTGTTGTGGTTCAGTAGAGCACTTGCCTGGCACGTGTGAGGTACTGGGTTCGATTCTCAGTACCACATAAAAATGATAAAAGTATTGTGTCCATCGACAACTAAAAAAAAATATTTTTTAAAAAAGTTGGATGTGTACAAACATTTTCCTGCTACCAATTGTAGACTACAGAAATATATATAAAATATTAGCTAACTATCTAAACTCAACCTCATAATAGTTTCATATGCCAAATTTTATTTTGGTATATACATTTTAAGATGGCATTATTCTTAACAAAATGGCATATTTGTGCAGGAGCTGTATCTTTTCCTTTACTCTTTTAGCCTGTCTTCCTATTTTTTAAATTCTAATTTTCCATCCTCTTTCAAGAAAACATTACATAATATTAGTTGTTTATTCAGAAAAGGGGCTATTAAGGGATTCAGAATATTTTAATTACTAGGTAACAACATTTTATAGCACTCATAAAACTATTTCTAGCATATATAAATTATAAAATGAATATCACACTTAAAGTGTGTATCTTTTAGCATAAGCATGCATACTAGAAAGGTTTTAGATTTATTTAAAAAAAATGTGAAAGTACCTGAGTTTCTGTAAGCCCCGCAACCATTTTTTTTTTTTTAGTGTTGAGATTTATAATATTATGACTATGGTGTGAAACTAATGCAGCATTATTAATACATTGCTACTACCTAAAGGCTAATCTTCTTTCATAGTTCCTTTATTTTCCTTTTGTTCTTTTTCTGCTACTAGGTCGATCGCACATAAAGTATCAGATTTTATTTAGTTCTCCTGTCTTCTCAGGATCTGCTTGACTGTCTCCATTTCTTTGAATTCCCTTGTTTTTAAAGATTGGAACATTGAGGAGTCCTGGTCAGGGATTTGTAAATGTTCTTCCACTGGAAGTATTCTGCATTTATGTTTTTATAATTAAACTAGAATTATGGTTTAGAGGATAAAAAATGAAGTGATAAAATGGGCATTTTCATTCCAAATATTCCCAAGGATAAATTCTATCAATGTGACAACATTATTAGTGTTTGTCAAAGGTAGTGTTGGTCAGATTTTTCCATTGTTGTTTCTCTTTTTTCCTTTCTTCACCCTGGACTCAATCAACATTAGTAGACCTCACATAATGGGTGGGTATTTATGATTCCCATCTTTTAAAACTTTTGACTCATTTGGAATTATTCTGCACAAGAGATATATTCATTCTCCCACATTTATTGATTAATTCAAACATTCCTCTAAGAATTTTCAACTGATGGAGCAAGGAAATATATATGTGCCAATACATGATATTACTATCTATAAATATTTCTGTATATGATCTGAATTTTATTAAATGAATTTGGATTTCATAGTGATATTCCTCTTGTAAACATAAGAGCATGCTATTCTCCACTCCTTTCTTATTTGTACATTTCTATTCCAACAATGTGAAATTTATCTCCCAGTTCCCTGCCATTCATGTACTTTATTGTGCATTTGCAGTATACATGATAGCTATATCAGCATTGCTAACTCATAGCAATATGGGAAACAACAACAATACATCAACTACAATAAAGCTTATTATTCATTTAATAGTATAGAATACACTCTATCAAAATTGCCTATATTGGGTGAGGCATGTGACTTAGTGGTAGAACACTTGCCTAGTACGTATGAGGGCCTGGATTGACCCTCAATCTCCCCTTACACACGCACACACACAACACACACACACACACACACACACACACACACAATGCAAAATTATTTATGTCAACCCCAGTGATGAATGAGAAGTGACCACATACTAGTTTGCTAGTTTCTTTAGAGATCTTGTATGTTCCCTCCTGCTCTCTTGTACTTCTGCCCTTGCAAGAGATGGTCTTCTTCAAGGAGATGCTGCCCTTTTGGCCTGGCCTCAGAATTACACATATGGAACAAAAGTTCTTTAGATGACCCACAAGAATTAGGGGTAAAATAGAACCACCCACATCCATACCTTAAACAGAGATGCCATAGTCAAACTGCAATTCCATGTGTAAAAATAATGCTTAATATTTGTGGTGATTAGCTTTCTATGCCAACTTGGCTCAGCTTTGATGTCCAGTGGTTCAATCAAGCACTGATCTAGTTGGTACTGTGAAAGTATTTTATAGAAATTAATATCTTCATTCAGCTTACCTTATGTAAAGGAGATTATTCTCAACAATGTGGATGAGCCACATTGAATCCATTTTAAAAAAAGCCTTAATAATAAACACAGAGGTTTCTCTAAGAAGAAATTCTGTCTCAAGATTGCACCATCATCTTCTGCCTAAGAATTTCCAGCTTTCTGAGCTGATGAAAGATTTTGAAATTGCTAGCCCTGATAATCATGTTAGCCACATACACACTAGTTCAGTTTCTCTGAAGACTTCTAGAGAAATACAGATACAGACCAATACAGAATTTGCTACCAAGAATGGTTCTAAAGAAACAGAATCCTAAGGATTATGAATTGGTTTGGGGGGTTTCCAGAATTGATTTGCTAATCTGATTAGATTTAAAGGCACTAAAGACTCTATTTCCAAATTAATGAGAACATTGGTAATCCATGACATGGAGAGACAACAGAGATGCACAACATATCACTGTTGGATGCTCTTAATCACACACCTCCGCAAGGCAAGTTTCTTGGTGACCATAACTTAGAACATTTTTGTCAGACAGGATAATGGGTTTGGCTGCCTGCTTTTAATTGTGCCTGAGAGAGGAACAAAGATGAGCTAAGGATTTAAAAGCCTAAGTTAAACTCTGCGTACATCACATGGACATTTCTATGCCTGACATAAATAAACACTATCTCCTGCAGTTACCAGACTAGGATTTCTGAACATTAAATACACAGTGTGATCCTTCTAGGGGTTAAATTATATCACAAATAAATCTCTAAACTCACAGGATATCTTCTGTTAAATAAGGCATTAATTAGGAACAAACAGATGCTAAACATCAGAATGGAGATGTGTAAGTAGATTGGAATAAAGATGGGGCCAGGGAATCTGTAAATTCCTCTGGGTCTTCCTTATCATTAGAGTTAAAGCCTCCTAGATGTAGATGTCCAAAAACACAATGCTCTTTGTCCCGAGGATCCAACCACACCACCCATCTTTGCTTCTATACCTGAAAATACAGTCCTATCCCAACGGGTCCCACAAGGAGAGGTATAAAGTGTGCCCCATGAGAAGGTGTACTAAACTCCAAAATAATTGCATATTTTTTTAAAAATTTACATAGAATTCTAGGGAACATGTTTGAGAGTGAATATCAATGATGTAGGATAATGGAAGAAGGAAAATACATTTTTATCAGGTCAATAATATAGCTCCACTAAGTGGAAATCCAGGATTTAAATTCAGGATTAATATTGTGGTTTTAGAAAGAGCTTTCACAGTTTGCTTAGTCATTTGGCTTAAACGTGGACCCAAAAATGGCCTACACTAAATGATACCAAAATTTCAAAATTGCTTTGAGATATTGCAGAAAAAGAAATACAAAGACTGAAGAGTACTGAAATATAAGAGGAGACAAATCTGTTCACTTATTTTGAAATGGTCTGGAAAATCCACCTTCTAATATGACTGTGAGGAATAAATTCATTAAGGGAGCTCAACACTATTGAGGAG